ATCAACCCTCAGTCCTCAAACTTCGTCTCCCATGCTAGCCTTTGCTCTTTCCTACTCGATCTATCTGGCGACCCTCAAGAAAGTTTCCTCACGCACTGCTTTCTGATCACCTACTTACACGACCCTCTCGTTGGTGCTTTCCTATTGCACGGCGAGCCTTAGTCTGCAATTTCTCAATCATTGCTGCATCCAATTCATCAAGATATAAAATCCCTGAAAAAAATGTATATCAATCAAATACTTTTTTCAGCAAATCCAACTGCCCAGCGATCCATCACCACCGGGTGGTCCAAGAAAAGAAGCTGATCCGCCCGAGGTTAGCTGCTACAATTGTTGTGACAGTTCAAGAGAAAACAAAGAACAGCAGAACAGATGCGCCCCCTCCTTGTTCGAACACTATTCAGTAGAATAGTCCGGGATGATTCGCAGGGAACAGACTAGACATTTCTCCCGTTGGGCTATAGAAGCGGAAATGGGATAGTGACAAGTGGCTCCGCTGTGTGGGCGCATTTTCCGAGGGTTACTACGACAGTCCACATTGGGTATTTATAGTAGAGATTTGATATTTCCAGTAGGGAGTTCATAGTTGGATTTCGCATTTGAACGCAGCCGTTTGTGTGTTTAACTTGAAGGCACGGTCCGAGATAAGGCACGCTCACCTATAGACGGGCAAACAGGCGTTGACGTCGCATCCCTTTTGCTTCTTGAAAGTGGCGACCAAGGCGCTAGAAGCCTGCTCGGCCCGCAATCCACACCCCTGTCCGCAAACCCCGCCTTCCGCTGTAGGTTGTCGCGGCGAGGTAAGTGCGGGTGCAATTGCAGCAGCGGTTGTATTGCGGTTCAGTGTCTTTGGTAGTTGAGCAACTGGAGTTAGTTTTGTGATACTCGTCCAGCAAGCCTCTTTTCTATCCGAAAGTGGAGTGCACTGGATTAGAGGAGGTCCTTATCCAGGGCTTGATAGGGAGGTTCTTCTGCTTTCTTTTTCTCCTCCAGCTCATCCATCTCCAGCTTCATAACTGAACGCTCACACCCACGGATTTTAATTTCCTTCTTTCCTTTTCCTGATGCTTGGCTTTGAAAAGCATTGCTAATTTCAGGATGCCTACATTTGCGATAGTTGTGAATTTGTCACTATTTACAAAGGTAACATGAAGAGACACCTCAACACCTGCCATCCTGCTCCTGATTGCAAGGATCTCAAAAGGTAAGCCAGTAAACATCTCACTCCACTTCATTTATCTCACATATTTGCCTACGTCCCTCGTTTGGCAACCTTTGGCTTAACGGTTCATTCAGGAGGGAGATTTACACCGTACTTTCTCGGTCGTGACATATCACACCAACCTGTGGTGGAGAACACTATCTTGCCCCATTTCTACATCTCTACCTCGATACCTTATGGTAATATGGTAATTAGCAGCACTTGAACTCCAAGCATTGAATGCAGCGGTCACGATGATCGAATTGTTTATGTGGGGAAAGATGTTCAGCGTTCAGCGGAAAGGGTAGACTTTACCCTAAACGATTACTGGTGCTTCCACTGAAGTAACACTTCGCTAACGGTTTCGTGAGGCGCAAATCTCAATTCGTGGACGGGGACCAAACGACATTGCCATATCCTGACAGCCTTGAGCTTAAAGGAAATCTCTTGCATTTGCGTTGTATAAGGCATATGTATAGAATCTATCGAGCAGCCTAATCTCTTGTTAATAGTGGTCACAAATCAACTGTGTTTCGTCTTGGAAATCTAGTCCAAATGCCGTTAGCTGGCTAGCGGTCATCTGGACTAATATGGTGTTCCAAGAGGGTTATTTTTTAGCTAAAAGCTCAACCAAATTCGGAATCAATTATCAATATTGGGGCTCATTCTCCCTGTTCATGGAGGGCGGGCATAAACTCGGAGATGAAGATCCTATTTTGCTCGTCGATCTTATGTTAAGATTGGTAGATCCAAAATGTAAGCTCCATTATGGACTATCCATCATTAGAACCCGTTCACTAGGTTTTTTTTTGAGAAGATTGTGAAGACCTTTCACCCGCGATACCTCAACATCATATTTTCTCAAGTATTCTGAAAGACACAATTTTATTTTAGAGTGGGATCGTAAACTGGAAAGTATGCGAGCGTCAGTGATGGGCATGAGCCGTGTGGAGATGATCGATCGGCTGAATGCTCACCGAATGAATTCGACTCGTGGACGAAAACCTAGGGGAAAGAAGCACGACGACAGTGCACAGGTACCATCTACTACACTTTGAAGACAACTGAGATCTGGTTGCGCTGTAAATAAGCCAACTCGAAAACCTCAATATTCTCAAACATTGTCATAACGGTGGTTCGATGAGCACTGTTGTTGCTCAAAAACAATTTCCAGGCCCTGAAGTCCTTTAAATCCTTGATGAAACGTGCCTGTACCCCCATCTTCCTGTTTTCAGTAAATTCGCTCCCTCACGAACTTCAAACATCCTACGCTCCCACTTTGTAACGGATTTTGGCCTCACTCAGACGCAGTTAGCAGCAATGTAGCTTTTTCCTTGTTCCTACTTCGGTTTCCTAGTGGCTAACTGCAAGTCTCGGCGCGTCTTCGTTTCCGAAGACGACTCCTTGGAACATCACAAAAGCAGTTAATAATAGATTTTAATTGGGTTAAATATTGCCCAAAAATGACGAGTACGGATAGCGGCGAAAATGACGAATATGTATGGTAGAACCAATAATTCATACATCTTTGAGTCATATGATTTATTGCAGACAGTGTGCAACCGATTCACCACCGATTGCATACGCTCTCATGAGTACAGCTTCCCACATTTATGACTTCTGCCAGAGATCGGCTCATTGTTGACGTAAACAACTGCCATTACTTATTTCCTTTCTTTTGTTTCAATATTGTTCACTGTTTAATATTTCTATTGTTTTTTTTTCTAAGAACTATCATATCTGCCTATATTTCATTCATATCGTGGCGTCTCCCATGTCAATACAATGTTCAGGGATTTCACTCCGCCGTTTTGCTCACACAGTATTTTTTCATATCCATCGTGCATTTTTCTTCATTTTCTAGTACCCATAGCTTATTTGCGCCCACTGTAGCTGGCATGAGCACATTACTTGCAAATGGCTGTGGACGCTCTGAAAGACTGCATTGAAAGCCAGCTGGTGGTCAACAGGGGCGGGTGCGCCTAAAGTGGTGTCGTTATCACCGTGCGCCTGATGAGCACGATTTTCGGGGTCGTTCTCTTGCCTTCTCGATGTCCTGACAAGAGTGCAGCACTAAGTTGCCTCGAGCGGTGATTCACCCTGGGCGCTGTTTGAGTTGAGGGAGAAATGCTTCACAGTCTTTTCTCAACCTTCGCTGCATCCGCAGTACGTCCATTCCTTCTCAAGCGGTCCGGCTCAGGCTGGAACTCTGTCGCATTGGATGGCCGCTTCACAGCTTCTCATTTGCTTAACTCTTAGCTCCGTAGTGCGTAGTCAAGTATTAACTAGAATAGGCACAGCTAGGAATAGCAGATTATGGGCCCCCTAATGAGAGCCACCGTGTTTTCGGACTGCGAAGCGACTGCTGCCAGTGAGGCGTTTACTGCTATAGAAACCGCTTCCTATCTTGGTACCGTTCTAGATGTGATACGTGTGGAATTGTGTTATATTGAGGCTGGAAGTCCATTAGGAATAGGACTGACCATTCTGATTGCTGCCACCGAACTTAGCGATCGGGATATCTACCCTGATTTCGTGCCATTTGTGATGAACAGCAGCTGAGACGCGGAGTTTTTTTTCTATTTTCTTTATTTTATCAGACTTCTTACTTGTTGTTTTCTTCCTCGTTTATTCTCTGCCCTGCCATATTTCCAATCGTGGTCTACTCTTTGCATTTGCTTTGATTTGTTCTTCATCATCATATCAATTAGGTACGATGCCAATCGAGAATACTGTTTTTTTTTCAATTGATTAGCTCAAATTTTGGGGGTGCTGTCTTCGCACGTTGTGAGGTTTTCATTGTATGTGGTTTCGCTCAATCGTTAATAGTACCCTTAGTTCCCCTGCCTCTAACATCTTCCTCCGTCCCCTCGATTCGACTACAAATAGCTCATCATTTTCTATGTGTTGGTGCCTGAGAAGACGGAAGCCATAATCTTATTTTGTGATCTGTACAGCAAAGATATCTAGCATAAAGCGTTATATTTATGTTCTTTTTGAAGATGGCATGGTGGCAGAGTGGCTGGAGGTTAACTGCACTCTCACGCTTTATGCGATTGCCTCCCGCCAGCACCGGCTGACCTTCCTCATTTCGTCTTTTTGATAACGGATGTGTTATGGGGGAAAATAATGAATCAAACAGAGTTAGGCTCCCCTAAGGCCCAAAAGTCCCATACTTATTGAGGAACTTGTACTAATTTGGTTGAAAGACGAGAGCATGGCGTAGTTCAGAAGAAGTATCGACTCCACGGGTTGCTAAAAAAAAGAGTGCTTGAAAGCAAAGACCAGGATCTAATTGATGTATTATTGCGCTTGTAAGTGACAGTGGAGATTAGAACTGTATTGCTAGCAAAGAAAAACGGGAAGAAACCTTCGACAAGGCCGAAAATAAACCCTCTTCCAGTAGCAGCAAAGCGAAATAGCACTGATTTGTGGGCGGGCTCAATGGTGTTGGGCGGAGCCGATGCCGCATCTTACAACCTTAGCACCTCGCCTTGCCAAATTATTCGAGAGCGGTAGGCAAGCGGAAAGTTATGTAAACGCTTTCCGCTGGTCTACCGCTGTATTTTTCTCGGGAACCAGCTTAATTTCGACCGGAAATGCTGGACATTCCCTTTGTGGAATGATACGAATAGATAATGAGCTGAAGGAGAAAGGAGGATGGGATGTTTCCTGGTTGGCCACAAACGAGTTGATGTCTTCTCCTCTAGAAATGGGCGACAGTTCCTCTCTTGCTCTAGCAGAACAACATTGCGTTTCCATGAAAGGATGCTTCCTTGCAATCGATGTCTGTTGACCACTTGTAATATTTGAAGAAATTTGGAAATCATCTATTCCTATATGTGCTAAAAAAAGATCCTCTTGCAAGTCGATAAAAATATAAATAAGTCAATGAAAATAACATCCATGAGATTCAACGAGGTTAGGCATAGTCGTTACTCGTCTTTAGAACGTGCCATGCCCTTCGTTGCCATTCAAATTTGTGAAGATGGCAGTCCGCATTGTCATGGCAAGAGATTGAGAAGGTCCCAAGTCACGAAAAAAAGAAAACATTGTTGGAAAAGAAATTTCAAAATGAGAAGCACTCGAGAGGAAGTTTGTGGTTTGATTCGCCTTGCGCTCAGATGAGCTTTTTTATTTAATCGTCATCTCCGAGGCTCGTCGCTTAACTGAGTTTGACAGAATGACGGTGATATTGAATAATGATGAAAAAATAAGGGTAAATAAAACCCAAACTGGTGCGAAAATACCCCAAAAAAGGCAGCAAAGCAAAGCGAGCTGTTACGGGGTATGAAATGGTACTCTTTTATGGTGCAATAAAGGCACTCGAAATCACGACAAGCGTTATAAATCAGACAATCACATTATAAATCAGTTAGGAGGCAAAAAATATTCAGATCGCATCTACAAATGCTAGGATAAAATCGTATAACTTCGTATGGCATTGACCAAACTCACACTTTGGATCGCCACGCACTCACTACTACTTATTCAAGAATAGTTTGTGCAACATTGCAGCAATTTGGTCTATAACAGTGACTTGTGGGCAAGTCGATTAAAATCAGCGATTCTATCAACCAAGACAAGTCCGGTATCAATTACCCGACCACCCAGGATTTGCACCCGTGCGGTAAGCAGCGCCACTTGTTTTTCTACGCCATTTTCCGTCACACATGGAAGGAGTGATGAGTATTCCGAAGGGGAGGATGTAGGAGTTGAGTCGAATCAATCACTTATCCCGGAACTCCATGACTCATATTCGCATTTTGCACCGCCACATAAAACCAATAAAATCAAAATCACACATCGAGAAAATGGCATCCACAGAAAGATCATGGTTTGCGGTGGCTCTTGAGAACTTCTTATGCCAATCTTACGGGTCACTGTATCCCATACTGGCTTGTTGCAGAGTGCTTTCCTTATTACGCAAAAACGCCAAGCGAAAAAATAAGAAATGAAGTAATAGAGACAAGTTGAAAGAGACGGTTAAGTCATAACTTTCACCCCGGCCAGGATTTGGGCCCACCTCTAGCTTCCCGGTCTGCTGACAACGTAATAGCCTCCGAAAGCTGGAGCTGCGGGCTCAGAGAAGCGGTTCCTATTGAAAAGTCGAGTTTTTTGGTCATTTCTACTTGTATTAGGTACCGGATATCTTAGTGTCGTTTTTTCACCGCGAGTTTCGGACCACCAATATTTTAATTCAAAATCCAGTGAGTGAAACGGCATATTCATCGAATGACTCATTAGCCCTTTCCCATTTACCAGTATGAGTGAAAACCTCGTACGATTAAAGTTAGGAATTTTTTGAGTCGAAAAAGAGAGGTAGGTCGGTTTTGACATCATCTGACAAATCATCCCTCTCACTTGCTAAAAAGTTAGGCCTGGACAAAAGAATGTATACATTTAGTTAGAGTAGGGTCTGCACTGTATGGTGGAAAATTTATTACTTACCAGCTCAACTGGACAATTTTTCCCGGAGTCTTTTTTGCCACATAGGGTCAAAAACGCACCCTTTTTGAGCACACGTGAGTAGCAGATGAGCACACTAATTTCCTGTGCAGTCAACTTCGTAAGTTTCCGTCCGTAGAGTATCGAGACGAAACATGGAGTTTTGTAGTAACGCAACCACCGCCAACAGGGCGGGTCCCGTGACGACGGGACGGATACTGCGGGGTAACTGACCGCGAAGCGGCTGCGTAGCGGTCATGCTTACCCCGCCCGTCGGGGTGGGCCCCTCCTCATTCCGGCTTTCGTTTCGTAAGTTACTCCCACCGCCCACCCTGTAGCATACAAGCAAGATCTAAACACCCTTCCTATCACAGTAGACGCGCACGCTATGCACGTTGCTAGAAACCAATTGTAAATTCTGGTTGAAGGCAAGCAGAAAATTTATTAGAATTTCTTTGT